GGGTGTGAGTGCTGCGCCTGCTCCTGGCAGCCGCTGGGGCAGCGTGGTAGGAGACCAGCCATCGCGGCGCACGTGGCTCCTCCACGTGGTCTCTATCAAGCCCGCGGAGGCATCGGAGATTAACGGACCTCGTTGCTCAGGACGCTTGGGGACCAAGTTTTGGGGATGGCTGGGGCAGGATGAAGCAGGGAAAGCAGGGGGCAGGATGCCGGGTGTAACGGTGCGAGGGTAGGAGGCTTGCTCCAGGGGCCTGGAGTTTGGAGAAGGTAAAGGTCAAACACTCCCAACGGACCAGATGGCTAAAGAGACCCATAAACTTCAGGCAGCAAGGAAATCGCTACGCATCAGGCAGTAAAGAAGCCTGTTGGCGTCGGGTGGCTAAATCCGCTGCACCCTCGCCTGCCCCACTACTCCACGGGCTGCTCATCTCCCTGCTCCCATGGGAAGTCCCGCCATGCGTGTCTGCGCGTGTGCGCGTGCATGTAATGGGAACCAGGAACATCGTACGCTCACATTAATAAAGAACCTAGTTTGCATTCCATCTGTTTCGCCAGTGACTAACAAACACTCAGACGCCTGATATTTTATAGGGCTGGTACTTGGGTTCAGGTTGCTAACCCTCCAAGAGAGGGAGAGAAAAAAGGAAGAAAGAAGGAATCCGGAAAAGTTATTCACAACGTCAGGTGTTTTCATTTTACTCAGTCGCATAGGAGTCTGACAGCTCCCTGACAGAATGACTTCACACTTTTCACTTGCTATATTTCAGGTATTCTGACTGCATAGGTTACTTTTTATAGCCATAATCCTCAAAACTCTTTTAAAGGACATTTTAAAGAACTCTTTAAAGAATATTTTCACGGATGTTCAAGATACCCATCAAAATAAGTGATGTTCTTTGCTCAGTGATTCAAGGTGGCTTGCGAAAACTGTTACGATTGTTTCCACCACTATAATCCAGAAGAAAATAAAATGATAACTCTAGTTAAAACATCAGTTCTTCAAGAAGCACGCCTCTAGCCCCGATGCCTCCATACAAGGCAAACTGGCTGCTGGAATGCATCTCTCTGAAATATATGCCTATTTTTTTGCCTTTTTTCTGAAGAAAGTCAGGATTTTGGCTGCAATTCATGTTTTACAGAAGATGTTTGTTAAGGGTTTTTTCATCCTATACCTGAAAACAGGTTTACTCTTATTTAAAGGAAAAAAAAAGTAATCTTCCACATAGTTTGTAATATAGTCTTTTTCCCCAGTTCAGATATTCTTTGTCAAATACAACAGCAAAGAAATTAATGGTTTATTTCTGTTTTTGTTTAAATGTTAATGCATCAGTGAGACTGGGATCACAAAACTGCGAGAAAGAGGGCAGCAGCTTCAAGGAAATGGAAACTATAATAGATTCAGTACCATGAAGAGCTTTGGTAGCAGGTGCTCGACTCAGAACTATAGCTCAATTTGAGATAAACTTTTAATAACGATCTGGAAAACAGGCTAGATAAGAAAAGAGAGAATCACTACAGGGGATACGGGAAGCCATGAGCTTTCTAGTGAACAGAAACGAGAGTGGCAAGGAGACAAACCTTGTCTGCTGCAGTGCCTCTACAACTGCCGCTTCTCAATGGCCACTGATGCTGCCCATACCCACTCTGGCCAGCACTGTCTCATCATTCCTTTTGAGCAGCTTTCTTCCACCATCTCTTTGTTTATATTTTGCACTAAGAGACAGACGTTTTTGTATGAGATGATCCCTTTGTCATACAGAAGTGCAGTTCTACCCTGTACCCTACCCTAATGTGGTCCAGACTGATAGATGTGAAACTGGAAAAGGCTTTTGCCCATTCGCCTGCCACAAAATTTTTGAATTGTCCACACAACTTGTATCTGCTGCATACATGCATACAGAAATAATTCATCTAGGTGACTCTTCCCAGGACTGTAAGTTCTTGAAATCAGAAAATGAAAGGATTTGGAAAAGCAGGATTGCACCCTCCACTAGCATGCGCTAACTCGGCCAGCCTGTGCATTTCTTTTTAGGCCTTCCACACACTACAAATAAATGTAACAGACTTGATAAGAAAACATAGGTAGCAAAGTGTTTTACTCAACTATGGCACTGGCCACACTAGCAGATATCTTTGATGTTCCTGAGTCTGTAGTTTAGCTTTTAACAACAGTTTGTCAAATTTCCAGATTCTTAGTTCCACGAGGAATCTGTGTTAGGCAAAATGGTACCAACACAAAAAAGCATTCCTTGCTTCCTTAAGCAACTTACAGCCTTCTTTTGCCAGAAGTGCTGTAAAGATCTACCATAGTATCAACCTATAAACATGGCAGAATAATCAGGCACATACTTTAGATCATGCAAATCATTTCAAAACCTGAAAGAAAATCTGAGGGAGGGGGGGAAAGATTTTCTCCACAAAGCTATAGATAAGCAAATTCACTTTGAACTATTCCAGTCCTTTGAGGGAAAAAGGTAGCACACAAATATCTCCTGACTTTTATTTAAAAAGAGAAAAGGCCAAATTCAAATCTGACTTTATATTATTTTTTAAATTTTTCAGCAGCATGATTGTAAGATAATAATGTCTTCTTGTCAACCATGTTTTAGCTTGATTTTAGAAAAAAAAAATGGAATAAATTTTATCCTAATTATAAATTTGTTTATACAATTTGGAGTAAAAGAAAAGTCCAGAATGTGCTGGCCACTTCCTTTCAGCCAACCATAAAGAGATGAAATACTGAACTCAAAAGTACAGAAGTAACATGGACTGTACTGTTATGGCTATGCCTAGAAAGTGTTTCACCTTCACACCTTTAATCAATGCTTTGCAAGTACAGTCCCTGACCTTTCCCTACACACCAGTAGTTCAACTGAAGTCACACGTAGCTCCTGTCACAGTTATCACTAGGCTCAGGATCAAGCTTGAAATGAAATACCAAAGTACTGCAAGCAAGCAAGTACTCTAAGAGCGCTTGCCGGTGGTCAAAAACCTCACCAGACTATACCAGAGAATAAACAAGTCTGTCTTTTGCGTATGTGCAAGCATGCCTTAAGAGGAATGCTGGGAAAAGCTGCAAGAAAAATTAATCAGGACATTGTTAATACTAAAGCATATCTGTAACACTTGGCTTCAGAAAATACATGAACAAATCAGAATACAAATTTCAACAAAAGAATTCTCAGGTCAGTCTGTAATTCATATAACTGAAAACACAGTGATTCAATGACTATTGGTAGAAGTTGCACAGCTAGGTTTCATATTTTATCTACTTTTAATACGAAAGTTAGAACAGTGTTTTGCCCTTAAACAAAGCAATATTGGAGTGGGAGTGGTGAGAGGCAGGAGTGATTAACAATTTGAAGCTTTACCTCTCAGTTGTTTTTACTACAGCAATTCATGTAAAATTAGAAAAGAATTGCTCTTACTTCCATGAATTATGTGTATATGATTTTTGACAGGATTGTATAGTTTTTAAATTTAAGTCTCTTAGGTTTCGTTTCTCACCATCTTTGGTTATAAAGCTTATCGCCTAGGAACTGAACCAGCACAAACAGTGACTCTTAGCCCAGTCTCATACAAACACACAGGCTCAGAGCACCTAGATGCTAATTCATTTTGAACTTTGATTTTACTGCTGTCTCAGAATTAGTTTGCCTAAGTGTCCTTATTTAGCATATCTGTTCCTACAAGATTTGTATCATAATCTCCCCTTTCTCTCTAAAAGAGAAAAAGGAAGCTAAATGAGCCACATCTGCTTAAATTAATAGTCAGAGTAGCAGCTTGTTAATGTTCTAACAATAATTCCTGGCAAGATGAGGCAGCAGTAAAAACGCAAAAAATATTATTATTTAATTAAAACATGAAAGTCACTCCTTTTTAAGGTACTAAAAAGAAAGGTGAGTGACTATGAAAGCTGTATCTCCACGCTGCTTTGTCTATTCATTTTTCTTTCTATGACTGTTATATGTTCTCTAGCAACATCTGACTGAAATTAAAGTGAAAAGAGCTGCTGCTAACGCTCTAAAACGTATTTTACCTTCTTAAGAGTCTTAATATCCTAGATAATATGCAAACAGACTGCCATAAGATTTGCTAATTTAGTCATGAAGGATTTGTAGATGACCTTATGCTGTTTACAATGTGTTTACTTTGTAGGTTGTGGTTGGATAATAATGGAAAAAAGATAATCAGAATAAAGGTATTTTATAGAGAGTATGCAGCAGTACCACTCACCTGCCAGTGGAGGATTATATTCCAGACCAAACCAAGGGTCAGCTTATGATTTCCATCCACAATGTCTGAGCTGCCAATATTTACTAAATCAACCTATTAAAGAAACAAAAAATATTTGTAGTAGATTAACAGTGTAAGAGGCTGGTGTTAGCTTCAGGTGTTTGGTGTTGAGTTTCTTTGGAGTGAGGGCAAAGGAGGGGTGAGCTACGATATATCTCTCAATTGGTTTCTGCTGTTTAGTAAACATCCAGCTCATGTTTTATAAATGGGACAATTAATGTGCTGGCAAAAAGCAAGGAACAGACAGTGATCTAGAGTTCCAATTATTCCAGTTCAAACAGGTTGTGAAAACATATAATTAAAGAGTTAATAATGATTTTAAAAACTTTTATATTAAGCCTCTACCATTAAAAAACACAAAATCAAAGGATGACACAGAAAAACTCATGCTACATGCTGCATGCTTCACATATGTTTTGCATAACATACTTTGCTGAAAACACCACTTATATCTAAACTCTGCAATAATGTACAGACCAAGACATTATTCTACATATTTAGATTAAAAAAGAGCCTATTTTGCCTTTATTACATTTCCCAATGCATAAAGCAAGGCAGGATGTGTTTTGGGGTGCAGAGAAACCAGTGACTGTGATCTAGGCAAGCCTTTTCCACATTGCTTTGTCTAGTAATGCTGTTTTTCCATAATTATATTAGGCATTTGCAAATGCATGATACATCTGCATTTGTCATCCTGGCATATTCTTTCCTCCATATGTGAAATAATCCTTCACCTTCCTCCCTTTTTAATGTTATCTAAGTAAGAATGCCAAGTTCAGAGATGTGACTGCAAGAAAGCACAAATAAGACCTGCACTTTAGGATGGAAACTGTGACTCTAAAATTTGCATCCTCGCTGTTTTGTAGACTCAGTCTTTCATGGTCAGAACTAAGATTTACATGGCAAAGTCATCACTTTTCGCCCCTTTATTGTACAAATTACAGTCTGCATATCTCCACTGTACTTCTGAAGCTATTTGAAGTTATGTCAGTAGGATGACTAAAGGCAAACACAAAACAAGACTTTTCTTTTAAAAATTTCTATGTCTCTATGGACAGGTCATTTTTACTAATCACATTCAAAGCTGATATATTGTCAAGAACTCTACAAATCTCTAAGAACTCTTTTCTTCAGGAATTAATCAAATTTTACTAGCAGCATATATGACTTGCAATTCCTTCTAGCCAGCAGTGTCTCGGAACACCTCCCAAGTGGAACTTCGACTTTATATCCTAAATGGTATCCAAGTAGTAACTGATCCACTATAAAGTTTATTAAGATATCACCTACGTCTTCTACAAGCAACAGCTTCTGTGTTCAGAAACGGAAGCCTGGATTCACGGAGAGTACATCTGTTTTACTGAAACAGAGGAACACTTCCCAGTTTGCCTCAGCTGTGCACAAATTCATATTGGGCTATCCTGCTCTCCCGCCAGACACTATCAACTATCACCTTTCCATAGGAAGGAAACCTGTCAGATGGATTCATTGGAAGCAGCAGCATTTCCCGATCTGTTGCCGTCCAGATGACTGCAGAGCCTTGGAACAAGGATAGCATATGCCAGAAGATAAATCTAGATGAGTCAGAGGCGTTTAATAGCCTTAGAATCATTGATCTTGCATTCCTGAAGTCCCATAGAAATTACTCTTGAAGTGATTTTGAAAGTTGAGGAAACTATTTCAGAGGTAGATCTTTTGGCTTAATAGTAATTTGATTCACAATATTGTGGATCACCAATGAAATTTTCATATATGAAAAGGATAGCCTGACAAGCTGGATGGCCATCCTATTTTCTAAAAATAAGTTTTTTCCTCTGTATTACTTAATTGAAATATTTGCTACTTGCTTTCTACTTTTTAAAGGAATTATACTTGTATTCTGAAAACTGACTGAACAGCACATTAATGGATTTAGCTGATGTTTAATAAATAAATATTTTTAAAAAACACTTACAATGAACATTTTTAACTGCACTCTAGGTATGCAATAAAAGTCTTCTTGCATACTGAGAAAAAACATATCAATGATTTTTTAAAATGATATCATTTATTGCAGAGACTGAAGAATTAGAAACTTTGTATTTCATTTACTTAAAATTCCATTAAAAAAAATTCCAGCTAGAGGTCTTCATGCCAGTTTTGTAAGGTCACTTTCATTTATGCACAAATTCTTAGATGGATAAGCATTACTTTAGATTTATAAAATCGATGACTTTATTCAGCAGCTGAACTCAAGCATGCTAGTGACCTACTGCAGTCATCAATAAATTCAATATAATATGCGGCACAGAATACGTTATCACTGTTCCATCACACCTTACTGTTAAGTTTAAGCGAATCTTATAGTTATTTGAATTTATTCTTGAGGAGGAGATACAATATAATTAGGTGGCCACTGAAAATGTCTGCTAAAGTTATGGGTTCATTAGGATACTTGCACAAGGAAGATATTAGAGGAATATTTACTCCAATATGATACACAGGATACTGGCCTGAAAAGTCAATCTTGACAAAGTAGTATGGAAAGTGGTTTTGATCTCATTCATTTCCTTAATGCTATGACTCATAAGAAGCAGATATCAATGAAAATTTACCCCAAAATATTTCTTGTAGGAAAAGCCTCAGGTTTGAGGCCTTTATAATAGACAAGAATTTCATGAGTAGAAATTTTGATGGGTAGCACCTCCTAACCAGCTATGGATGACTTCTTGTAATTAACCGTTTAAAATGTATTTTGAACACCACACATTAATGTAAGATTGTGCATGTTGATCAGTCTTCAAATAGCATTCATTATAGATATACTAGTCAAGCATTTGCTGGCAGCAGATTTTAAACTATTTGAAATATATTCCATCCTGGAGCAGAACCTAGAAGTACCTAAGTCACATTAATAACACTGCCCTGACTCCAGAAATTGTCTATTTATTGCCAGAGTTTGCCTCAACAGTTACAAAGCAGTAAGCATGCTGTCTACAGGATGTTCTGACTCTGTCCAGCTGATTACTTACGTTATTTCTCTGCAAAACCTGCAGTGCTTTGTTGACATTGTTCAGAGCATGAACTCTCGTGGAGCCCTTTTCCTTTGCCTGTAAAGCAAATAAAATAAATTTGACTGCCCAGGTAGAGAAACTAGAATATGCTTTATATAATCCAAAAATTGTATTACATTCATAGTTTTATATTTCATATACTTATGACAGTATCAGTAAGAGTATTACAAAACATTGTACGTATGTAGCTTCTCAATATGAAATAATGGCAGCTGTGAAACACTGCTTCTACAGTTGGAAGCTAATTTTTCAGTGAATGTATCTAAATATGTATAAAAAATCAGATAAATCTGGATTGTTTTTGTTATGGTGAGTCTTCTGCTCAGTGACATAATTTAGGAACATTACTATGACAACCAAACAGATAAGCATTATGAAGTTTTTACAAGTATATCCTCTCTGGGCTTTGACTCTCAAACTCTCAGCCTGTTTCCTTACTCTTTTACGAAAAAAAATTCACAGAAAGATCCCAAGCTCACAAAACCTAAACAGGAACACCAGGGAGGATAGTCAAACATTCTGAAGGGTCATTTTAGCATTTACAGATCAATGAGAGCAAACTCATCTGTCTTTTTAGAAATGTTTGCCCAGGCCCTCATCAGTGGAGGAACTTAATGACTAACGTTTAACTACACCTGTAAGCACATCACAGCTTCAATGTACAGGAAATACATTAGTATGCACATACAAGTTTTTGGCCTGTAAGGCATTCCAGGAGCTCCAGAAGTCTTCGTCCATCTCGGAAATCATTAAAAAGATCTTCAATGTAACGTCTTCCAAACTGAAATGAGACAATAGCTTTAGTTAATTCAAACACCACAAAAATGCAGAAACATCATTGTCAAAATATTACATTGTAACTAGAGAGCTGTAAAAGCAACTGTCATACAAACTGATGTATTCCACCTGTGTAAAAACACAATTCTGTTCTAGTTAAATAATAAATATAACAGGTATGTCACAAACTAACTGAGGAAAATGTCTTTCTTACAACTAAACAGTTAATACTCGTAGCACTCTTCCACATTCACCTGTTTTTAACAGGGTTCTCTTTAGTAAGACAGACTCTGTTTTCTGTCTTATTTCATGCACTTTTTCAATAGTAAGGAACGTACATCTTTCATTCCCTCTTAAAATTGTAATATTACTATCATTTGTGAGAAACTCTTGTAAATCCAATAATTTATAATTTGTACACACACCATTAATTCACACTGTTAAGCCAGAACTAAATACTAATGAAGCTTGAACACAAACTTCTTCAGGAGAAAAACAGGAAAAATAATTTGTCAAGTTAAAAAAAAAAAAAACAGAAAGACATATCAGGTTGAAGTGCCAGGAGGCTCTTTTATATGAGGTAAAAACAAACCTGGAATTATAAGAAAAAAGGTATGTCTTACGCTTATTCTAATGAGTATCTGACAACCATAGGGCATACAAGGACATACTTGGAACAGTACTGAATCAGGGCCTCATTACTGTAGGTGGCTAAAACTCAATTCCCATTTTCAACACAGCATCAGCAACAAAAGAAAGGAAATACTTGCGATTTTCCCCCTTGTGACAACGGAGAAAAGATGATTTACTCTCTCGAAAATGAAAGTCCAGTTTCTGAGCTGATGCTTTGACTAATGCATGAAGTTTTAACAAGACAGAAATATAATTTATACTTTGGTCACTGTGTAACTTTTACACGCACCTATGAATTCTGACATACACTATTTTCATGTGTATAAGCTACTGAGAACCACAACAAAAAATAGCGATTATTTGTCAGCGTCAAGTAGATTTGCCTGTTCCTATTATTTCTAATTTGTGAAATTTCACAGATGTTTTGATCGATTGGAGAGAAAGAATCTGTACTTTAATTTGCTAGAATTGATGCCATGCTGATCTACACTGTACATATTCCACTTTTATCAGAGAGTAGCGTAGAACCAGGAATCCATATTGCATGGAAACCATTTGCTTTTCTGTCAGCAGAGTTGTTCTATCACTACTCACTGCAACACTCTTTAAAGCTAGCTGGGAATTCTATAAAAAATTATTTTGTCAGAAGATATCAATTCCTTCAGAACATTTCTTAGACAGAGGACAGAATTAAGGACAGTCTCCAGTGCTAGAGTCATTTTTTCTGGATCAATCAGTATTTATATGTAGAGCACAAACTGTTGTGCTATTGGTTGCTCCGGGGTGATGCTTTCCCTCTTTCTCTCATTTGACTGTTCTCAGGTAGTAGCTTCTTTCTCTCGCCTCTTTTTTTGGTCAGACCTTGCTTCTGTTTCAACAGAAGCAAAGGAATAAGCAAATTCAACAGAACAAGCAAATTCAAAGCATCACAAATTTTTCAAAGCAATTGGAATCCCTATTTTCTAGCCCACTTTCACAGCCTGCACAGTTCATTCCAGCTAAGAGCTGATTTCCAGTTAATATATAGGCAGCCATTTGATTACCTGAATTATTTGGAAAACAGTACTGAAGAGATTCACATATTATTTACTTACCCTGCTCAACCTCTTGAATATTCTATTTAACAAATAATACTCAGCAACTCTATTTTTGCCTTGTGTTTAGTATGAGAAGCAGCTTTGATAAAAAGTTTTAAATTACAGTATGAGCAATTTCCTGCCATTACAGAGGTCAAGCACGCGCAGTATCCCTGAAGTTGTATATTACTTAATATATATATGGCACAAATTTAAAATGCTGACATAGAGACTGAACTGAAATATAGTGGAGAAACTTGACTTTTTTCCCCTCCTTTTGCAGAACAAAAGTCATTTTTGCAGCGGGGAACCACAAGAGCTATGCACTTCTAAAGGAGCATTCTAACACTTGAGAGTGTTAGAATGAGTTCAGATAATCAATAGGCCTTTGGTAACGCTCTGAAAAAATCCTGCCCATAATGTTCCTGAATCATTCGGTGAGTATGAGCACAGTGACATTTTGGTAATAGAACATAATTATATTGCTCTGTATCATAAGGGAGGAATAGAACTAGCTTTCATAACTGCCTTTGTGCCTGTCTTTTTTCCATTTTGTACCATTTAAGCTATTCCTAAAGTTTACGTTGAAATCTATCTAAAACAGCATAAAATTCTATGTGATAAAATAATACAGGTTTTTGTTTTTGTTTTGGTTTTTGTTTGGTAAAGCTTTCAGAAAGGAAATAAAGACACAGCAAGGTAGCATTTCCAGCAGGACATTTTAATCACAAATAAATTACAAGTAAGCCTTAAAACAAAACTTACCATTGATTCTGAGGGCCTTGGAAGTATAGCTTCCATTAACCAGCAACTAAAAATACCTTAAGACACACTATGCTGCTGCCACACATTTCATCCCTAACCTGAAGAAGCTTGCTATTTCTCTGGCAATAGGAGAATTCAGTCTTCTTTCTCAAAAGAGACTGAATGCCTTCCATGGACCAACACTGCAGTAAGTCTTCAGAAACAAAAGGCTTAAAGATGCAGCAAATAAATTCACTGTGTTTTCAAGGTCATTCGAAAAGCATGCGTTAAGTTGTATTAAGCTTGGGAAATAATGAAAAAAACACATGGCTAGTCCATGGCTAGTCAAAATAGATAGCTAATCCTTTAATATAAATTCCTGTTGAAAATAGCCTTGTTTAAAACTGTTTTTAGGTTGCGACCTGTAACTTCCACCCTTTTAGAAGGAAAATTTAGAAGGAAAATTTATTATTTTCCTTATACTATAAATGTATCAAAGGAAAAAGACAGATGTACAAAACAAGATTGCTGGATAATACTTCGTTTTTGTTCTTAAATACCTCAAAGATGGAAGAGAGCGGGGAAAGCAGTGAGAGTACAGGAAGGACTGTGGATACTGCCCATGGGACACAAGGAGACTTTTCTTCAGGATGGTGGTAATTTCCCCAGCAGTTGTAAGGATAGCAGTTTGAAGCTAATGATAATTTTATGATCCTAGTCAATATATAAGTTGTCTGTACTGAGAAAACGTTAGTCAAGTAGATCAGCAACATAAATATGATCTCTCTCTTCCTTACTTGCTTACTTCAGGGAAACCAACAATTAATGCGGGGATTTGGGGTTTTGGAGGTAGGGATGAGAAGGACAATGAGGGAAAAAAACAGAATAAAGAAGAAGAGACAGTGACTGTAAAACTAAAATGAAAAACAAAATGAAAGAAATAGGAAAGTCTTTTTAGAAAAAAATTGACAAAATAAAAATCTAAGATAGGAATTTATTTCTCTATAATGTTAGAATCTTCATGACTAGGAAGACTTAGTGATTTGAACATATCACAGTGTTTTAAGTATTATTTTAACCTACTGTCTTCCTGTTGAATAAAGGTCAAAACACAGACAATTCTCTCGGTTTAACTGTTATGGCTAATGGCTACAATTACTAATCTTTACATAACATAAGGAGAGTTGAAGAAAATGTAAGGTATTTATTAAAAAAAAAACACAAAAAATGTTACACATAAGGAAATATAAGATTCCTGTTTTTTTATGGATGAAATTAAACCTTCAACTCCAATAAAGATTGAAGAGAGCTCAAACTAGAGTTTTCAACATACATTTTTTGTATTTCAGGAGAAAAAACCACATGTAGATGCAGTAGCATCTTCCTCTAGATGTTATAAAGGAGTGAAGCATGCTTAGGGTACCCTATATATCAATGCAACTGCATGTACATATCCTAGAATGCTCTCAGAATTATTAAGACTGAAATAATGTCTAAAAGCTAGCTTTTTTCTAAACTCAGACAGCAACTGAACCAGAACATTATCAAAAAAGGACAAAAGCAGATGGAAAAGAGATAAAAGGGAAAATCAGGAAATGGAAAAAAAGTGGTAATAGATAAGTGTAGTTGTGAATCTGTTGTTGTGATTATATTTAGGAATCTTAATACATCAAACTCCATCTTATCCATCCCAATACTATCTAATTTCATTGCCACATTCCTATGTTTTTGTTACCAAAGACTCTTTTATATTGGGAACTACTTCTCTCCATGTAAAGTTAATAAATTATATTAAACAAGGAGATCATTTAATCAGCTCATTCATCATAGACATTATGGAAAAAGTTAATATTACCAGAAATATTACATAAACAGAGAATATTCTAGGAAAAGCTCTCTGATCAGTGCTACGTGCAAGCTACTAATTGTGAATGATACAGAAAAGAATGCCAAATAATTGAAAAATATCTTGCCCAGAGAAGGTACAAAGACATCACTTCATGAACACTGGCTCTCTTATTGCAGAGCGCTCAAACATTTTAAAGCAAGGCTCTAAAAATTCTGAAATTGTCATAAAACTATTATCAGATATTACTTTTTAGAATGAATTTGCATAGGAGATTCCTATAGCAAGATAGGAGAAATAGCAGTGGGCATATGTTATACTTACTTTTGCTAGAAAGAAAAAGGAAAAGAAAAAGAAGGGGAGGCAGAGAAAGAAGGAGAGGGGAGGGGACAGCAGAGGACAGGACAGGACAGGACAGGGGACGGAAGAAGGGGATGGGGATGGGGATGGGAAGGGAGGGAAAAGACAGAAAGGAAGGGAAGGGAAGGGAAGGGAAGAGAAGGGAAGGGAAGGGAAGGGAAGGGAGATAACAGCCTAAGATACAGGAAAATACATGATAACAGAAGATTGTAACACAGCTACTATTTGAAGTTCTTTAACATCTATACAGTTTTTTGTGATTTATAAAACTGCCATATGATTTAAACCTTTTCCCATTTTTCAGAAAAATTACAGAGGGTAAAAATTTGACTGAGGGAGAAATTT